TGTGTGTGTGTGTGTGTGTGTGTGTGTGTGTGTGTGTGTGTGTGTGTGTGTGTGTGTGTTTGTGTGCATTAACAGAGGACACACATTACTTCCCAAAAGGTTTCCAAGTAAGATTCTAAGAAATGTTATTAAAAAGGGGGTAGGGAGCGAAAAAAAAACAAGAAAAAAGAAGCAACAACAAAAAATCTGGCCGTCAGGTAATGAAATCTATAGGGTGTGCTTTTTCAGTTGAACAAAGTGCAAACGGATTATGAAGTTAACGTCAAAAGTATTTGATTTGTCTTTTCTCTTTTTCTTTCTTTTTCTTTCTTTTTCTTGGGGTTTAAGCAGCAAGGGGGGGGTCACGATACTTGTGCTATTGCTTAGCTTGCGCACAAACCCTACGTTGTCGGACTGAAATAATGGTATCAGAAATTACTTTTTGAAGTCCTACGAATTAATTTGAAAATTGATTGATATGCAATAGAACGGTTTGAAAACGAAAGTGAAACTAGGAGGCGGATATCTGAGAGAATAAAAATCTCAAAGGAGTAATAAAGCGATTGAAATAGAGGTAGTGAAGAATATGAGGATAATATAAGAGATGTAGTTTTTAGTTATATTGCTGTTGTTATTGTTGCAGTGATGGTAGCGTCGGTGATTGCACTTTTGCTGGATAGGCTGCTTTCACGAGATTTAGAAGTAAGGCAGCGTGGTGAAACCAGGCGCTCTTTGCTATAGTGGAATCGAATAAATCGGCATTTTTTTTGTTGGTTGAGGATTTTAAACAATTTTTTCTGCCGTTTTTTTTTCGGGAAGGGGGTGCGTTACACATCTATTGTGTCTATTCAAAAACGTATTTATAAGTGGATTTTAATTGAAAAAAAAACGTTGATTCAAGGCGCACAAAAATGTAACTTATCAGTTTCTAAGGACTTTAAAACTAGGAAGTCACCAAAGTTTCGTGGTCATTTTCTAGGACAGCTTAATTTTACCTCTGAAACCAAGCAACCCCTACCTCATTCAGTCGTAAATATCCCGACTTTTATTCAAGATAGGTCGATACTTTTTTCATCGAAATACAGACAAATTAGCAAGCTTTAAGATGATACTAATAACCCTATGTGCCCCATTAGCGACGAACGCCTGATTCCATGGTGCCATTATACAAATGTAAAACACGAGTAATACTTTCTGATAAAATGCCCAACAAAAAAAACATTGTAAAAATGAAATGTTCAGGTGCTTACCGTTGCCAGCAGAAAAATCCCACAGACGAAATACATGAATACTAATACTGTCTTTACAGGCATTTTGATAAACAATAAGTCCATTGGTCTTGGAGTCAGAAAAGGCACACCTTTTAGATGAAAGGGGACAATCACTTTCCTTCTTCAGCAAAACTTGGATGACACAAGTATTCACCTTGTGGTATTGTACGAAATATAATAATATAGTTTTATTCCACTGTGTTTTCAGTTCTCTCTTTATACAGTTTCGAAATATGTAACGATACGATGAATGCGTCAACGCACTGCTTCTAGGCCTTTCTAGATGAACTCCACACAAATCCAGAGAGAGAAAGAGAATATTAGGTTCAACTTTTATTTTTTCGTTAATTTTTGTTTTGTTTTATTTTGTTGGGGTTTTTTTTCTATCTTTTGCTCTTTCAATTCAAACTATATTGTTACGAAAGTTAAAAGTGGTCAATGGTTTCAGCTTGCGATGTGGAATTATATATATAATCCTGTGGTTTCTGGACTGATTTTTCCCACTAGCTTTGTTCAAATACAGCTAGATCTAGTGTTACGAGACAAGCTTGCTATCTGTTCCTCTCCTCTACTACTACCTGCTTCACGTATGACCACTTTCAACGGGGGGATCAGCCTTGCTATCAGACGAGACTCACTTTTATACCCATTTGATCAAACAGCTGTCTATTTACAGCGGTGACGGGGGACGCCTACTCAAAGCCGCGCGCTCCCGTGTCGCCTACACCCAAAAAAGCCTTTGTTGAAACACACTCCCTGTGACGAGTATTTTGTTTGGTGCATCCCTGACGTATGTTTTTAAGTGATTTGGGGGCTGAAAACGGCTTACAAATCACTAAAAGATGAAATAACGCAGTCTTCTGCATGTGTCTGTGTGTGTGTGCTGTGAGGGGAGGTGACCAACCCC